CCTATCCTCAGATTGTGAGTACACTAATCATTTCTATTACCTATGTGTCAGCATAATTTATGTTGTAAATATTCAGTGTTATTAACTAACACAGATGAGGTGCAAACAGCATTCGATCTTGTTTGTGACATTGGATCTTTTGTAGATTTCACTTTGACTGTTGAAGTAATGCACAGTATCTGCCAGTTTTCAGTGAATGTACTTAATAATTTCTCGTGTTTCTGTGTTTGTATTTATGTTATGTGTTTATATGCCTGTGTATGCTTGTTTGGTGTTGTTTTGTGCATATGTTCTCTGTCCATATGTGTGCATGTGGCTTCTTACAGGAGATGAACCCTTACTCAACAGTCACATCTGATCAGAATGAGCTAGACCACAGGTACTGTGTGCTGAAATTGCACGTGCCCTACAGTGATCTGATATATTCACCTGACAGGAACATTGGGGACAAAACTGTTATTTCCAGACCACAAAACACAGTTATAAATAAGAAACACACATTTCATTGAATTATCAGCTTCTGTATTGTATTTCTATCCCTAGTATGTAGGGTGATGATTTAGATGATCATAGACTTAGACATTTTTATTTGTAGAGCTTATGTTTGAAAGCTTGTGATGTTTCTGTATTGGAAAGATATAGAGTATATAGACAATGGAGTATATAGATAATGGAGATGTAATCCAGTGCACTTTCATAGAAACTGTATAGTGCAGTGTATGAAACTGTTATTTTAATTGTTATTATTATTATTGTTATTTCTATGCAGATCTGTATATTTGGTATTTGACAGCTATCTCCATTACTGTAAGTTTGTCATTTTGTTAACAGCAAGAAGTTATAAGCAAAACGTGTGTTGTCAACTGTGACATTTTGATACCAATAGGAGTGAAATCGGAGCCATTGGTACTATGTGACAATTGTTTTATAGCTTTGTTCTGATTCCTGCTATAAATACTGTTCGTAAGTTTGTGACTGCAAAAATTATTATTATTTTTTATTTTACTATTTTCATTGAATTTTAGCCCAGTTTTCCCAAAGTTGTATAACACTTAAAAGAAATCAGTCTTCAAAAACAAAATAAGTTAAAGTTACTTGTTGTACAATAGTGCATTGAAATCATCTTAAACTCTTCAAAACTAATTAAGACCAGAAGATGAAGAAATGACCATTATGACTTCATTCCCCCCCCCCCCCCCCAAAAAAAAAAAAAATCTATCTACTGTAATGTGAAAAATCTCGAGCCACCCCTCATTTCTTTCATTTTGTTAGAAAACTGGGAAAGGGGTGCAGTGCTTTATTCGAACATGTGCAAACATGAATGGAAATTAAAGCCACTGAGGCAGCTTTCAGTTATTTATTTAAGTGTCATAGAGAGAACTTCTAAAGGCATCTTGAAGGACATTCAAAGGTCTTCTTTGGCCCTTTCTGCCTTTTGTTCTGTTCTCAAGACTATCCCACGCTGCTTCAATCATGTTACACAGATTTTATGCCAGATACACCTTCTGCTACAATCCTGCCATTTATCGGGGATTGTGACCCCCAGAGACTGTGTTTGTGTCTCTTTCCAAAATCACTCCAAGGATCCTGTAAGGCCACAAAAACTATTTCAAGATACCATGTAGTAAACTGATAATCCTTGGTGGTGAGATTTCTTCTTTAATCCTGCAAACCATAGCTATAAAAATTCAATTTAGGATGTTTTAATCTGAAACTGTAAATACCCCAAACATTTGAAGCCAATTTGAGAATGGACCTCCATCTTAACATGTTTTTCCTTTAAGTATGATCTTAACAGGTGTATCTGAATCATGTTGAAGTCTGGGATAAAAAAAATGTAACTTAAAAAAAACACACTTCACCTTCACTAATGCAAAACCGATTACATTTTTAAATAGATGCAACTCAAAGATTCAGTTATACATCTTGTTTATGTGCACATGACACTCGTTTAGCTCAAACTAGTAGTCTGATACAACAGTGCTGCAATCTTTTCTCAGAGTTTTGTGATGAAGTGAAGCTTTTGACTGAATATGCATCCACACAGCTCAGTCCACTTAGCCTGATGTCATTAGCCATTTCAAATATGTTAAAAACGGTCCATTTTAGCTCCAATAACATGATCCCCCAGCTGTCACAATAAACATTTAGGAAGCATTTAGGAATCCGAGAAGATTTACGAGATCCAGCTGATTAGAAGTTAGCAGAAAATTAGTTATACAGTTGGTATTTATATATATATAATTTTGCGACTGAAATCTTTTTTGAAAAAGTATGTGCAACATGCTGTACTGTAACTTTGGATTCAAATGTAAGAAATAAACAACAAAAACTAAACTAAAAAACAGCAGTGATGTTTTGAGGGTTAGTGACATACTATCAGGTAGATAGCTACAGAGCTAAGGTTAGACTTGTTTTTTTTCTGTGCTAAACACTATAGCCCAGAAAAACACATTTTTTTTACTGCTTGTTTTGTTATGATCAGATATAAATCAATTTTTAAAAAGATGGTGACAGTGAAAATTGTTTTGAGACTTCGGTATTAGACTTTAGAAACCAATGTCACAGTAGCTATATCCATCTTTTATAATGAAAGAACAGAAAGACAGACAAGCTTTTCTTCCCTGTTTTTTTTTTTTTTTTAATAAAATTATCATCATCATTCATGCCTTAGCAATGGCTTTCTTGCTGCAACTCATCCTGTCAAATCTGCAGCTCAAAGTCTTCTCTTCACAGTTGAAACAGACTTGCTTAATACGACCAATACTAAGCTGTGCTTTGAAGCTGTTGTCATGTGAGCTGCCTATCAGGCAAGCCGTTAACTCTCAGAAACTTGTCCTCTGATTCAGTTATGTCTTCGGGTCTGCAAGACCTCTTCCTGTTTGAGTTTGCCCCAGTTCCTGAGTGCCTTTTGATGGTGAAGGAAACTGACACCTTAACTTTCTTTGCAATTTCTCTGTAGGAAAGACCTACATTTTTAACTGTTAGTGTTTAAGTGATGGTCTGTCTCGCTTCCATTGTTTATTGCCTTTTTCTCGCAATTTTTGTAGAAACACACTACTTTCTGAAGTAGAATACTGTTCTACTGATGCTCATGAGGGTATGGTACCACAGTGTGTTTTAACACTGCTTTTATGCAGACAGAGAGAGTTGTAAGTATTCCAGAAAAGTGGAACACCTGTAGAAATTAGTAGCACCAAATTTCAAGGTTTGATCAACCTCCATTGCTGCAGAACAGCTTTAAATTGTTAACCCATTTTGCGTTCCCTGAACACATATGGAATTATGCAGTAAACAAAAAAATGTAAAATAACTCAAAACATGTTTAATATTTTAGATTCTTCAAAATAGCCACCATTTCCTGGGGCTGTTGACTTGGATGAATTCATCCTCAAAAGCAAAGAGGACTCTTAGATTTCCTTTCCTGGAGCGGTCCGCATGTGAGCCAGTTTCATCATAGTGCTTGATGGTTTTCACCACTTTAAAATAACATAACATAATAATAAAATAATAACTCAAAACATGTTTTATATTTTAGATCCTTTTAGTTTTAGCAATTTTCTGGACTGACTGTCCTTCAGTTCTTAAAGTTACGATGGACTGGCTTTTCTTTTTACTTAGCTAAATGGTTCTTGCCATGATGTTTTGAGTTATTTTACACTTCTTTTGTTTACTACATAATTCCATATCTGTTCATTCACAGTTTTGACGCCTTCAGTGAAAATCTACAATGTAAATAGTCATGAAAATAAAGAAAAACCAATAAATGACAATGTGTCCAAACATTTGACTAGTAATATATATAATATATCTTATATTATAAAGGTTTCAATCAATATATTCATTGTTCACTCTATATATTCAGACTCTTTAAAAATAATGTATATATTTAAAATTTTCCTAAATGGCATTTCCTCAAAAAAAAAAAAAAAATATATATATATATATTATTAGGTTCATTTTATCAGTATGATACTGATATATGATAGGTTATATATTTATATATACGTATGGAGAGTATTTTTGCTATATATACTATAGTATATATAGAGCTTATTTATTTACGCACTCACCATCGTGGAACAATAGGCACGGCATGTACCACCAGCAGATAAATGAAGTGGCTGACATCATGAAGTCCTACCAGTGGCTGGACTGAAAGACAGCACAGAGGCACTAACCATGGTAGCACAGGAACAAGCTCTGAGCACAAGATCCACAGAGCCTGGGGGTCTATCACATGCACACCATGCCATGCAGAGCAACACCATAACCAAGTAGCTGGCATAATATACAGAAACAAGTTCCAAGGTCAAAATAGGAAGCGCCCCCTATGGTGGTCGAGAATGACCAAGCTAAGATCCGGTGGGACTTCCATATACAGACAGATAAAATGGTGATAGCTAACCAACCGGGCATAGTAGTGGTAGAAAACCAGAGAAAGATGGGAGGTAGTGATAGATGTAGCGATACCGAATGAAAGCAATATTAGGAAGAAGGAACACGAGAAGCTGAAGAAGTACCAAGGGCTCAGAGCTTGAGAAGATGTGGAGGGTGAAGGTAACAGTGGTCCCAGTGGTAATTGGAGCACTAGGTGTGAGTGGCTCCTGCAGATCCCAGGAACAACATCCGAGATCTCTGTCCAGAAGAGCGCAGTCCTAGGAACAGCTAAGATACTGTGCAGGACCCTCAAGCTCCCAGGCCTCTTGTAGAGGACCCGCAGGGGCGAGAGGGTAATATATAACTAGGAATTCCTTAATTTCTTTTTTTATGAAATTGAAAACTCAATTGCAAGTTTCAGGTCAATCAATCAAACATGAAGTTTATTATATAAATTATGGTCAATATTGGACTCAGAAAAATTATCGAGCATAAACTCATTGACCGATTTGATCAGTTTCAAGTTGACAGCTAATGAGCCTGAGTTTCACTGTCAGATCTACCCATTGCTCTTTGTGTCCAGCTTCAAAACACCAGATGGTTATGCCAAAAACACTCACATTCAAGTTTTCTGGCAGGATGTAGCCGCTGTGGCACAGAGTAATCACCAGTTGTTGACACAGTGGCTATGACCTGTGGAAAGCAAAGCCTCTTGAGGACATGGAGCAAAACAGAAATATCAAAAGTGAAAAGAACAACAGCACATGAAAACCCTCAACACTCCAACTTATTAAACACTGCCTCTCAGTGGTTAAACCTTTGGTTACATTTTGCAGAGGGTAACTGCCAACCACTGTAGAGAAATATATTTAAAGCTTTGTTTTCTGGTACTAATAAAAATATGTTTTAGCCAGAAATTATAAAATGAATGATACCCTTAAAGACAATATAATGAAATACATAACAGAAGGATGATTTGTTGCAGGACTGCTGGTTCAGTTTGAGGTCTGATTTCCTAATAAATTGAAAAATTGGAAACTGTGAAAGTCATGGAGAGTAAAAGTGTTCCATCACCACTGTTCCTCAGCATCACTCTGCACCTGAAGATCTCCTGTCCCCCCTCACATGCCGACTCTGAACTCAGCCTCAGCCCTCCACTGCAACACCAGCCTGTGCCCAGGGTCAGCATCCATGTGGAGTCCGATTGCGAGGAGTCTGGCTTCCACTTCAGACAGCAGCAGCACAACTTCTACCCGTCTGATGACTGGCCACTGCCTAAAATGGAGAAAGAATCTTGCAAGAAAAAGCAAGATCACTTTCACAACTCCTGTGCTGAAACCATTTTGTAAAAACAAACAATGTTGAAAGGTGCAAAGTGTTGCTTACTGATCACAGATCATGTCTAACATCGTTTAAGTGGGTTTTTTTGTAATTATCAGCTCTCAGGTCTGCTTTGGAAACCAGCTTCTTGTAGTTCCAACGAGAAAAACCAAAGCATATTAATGAATGCACAATCCCTCTCTGAAGCAATTAGATAACTGATAAATGGGGCAGTTTAATAGGTCAGTGTATTTGATGAGTGGTCATGATCTACATGTTTATGCGCATTTCTGATGTAAAACCCTGATCTAAAAAATTAAAAAAGAAACATCCATTTAAAAGCTTTTGGTTTGTTTTTGTCATAACAGCGTTCATGCAATTCATTTTCTTGTCAGGAAATGCTTTCCCCGGAGTTTCCCTACTTGTATTTAGAATAAATGATACTTAATGTACTGTATTAATGCTTTCTGTAATATAAATATGAAATCTCAATTTTTAAAGCAAATGATAGCATGCGGCGGAGTGTTCATTAAATTTGAAAATACATCTTGGCCTTTTAATCACAGCTAATGAAAGAGTCAGTTCAATGCAATGGCATGCTATCTACAACACCAGTAGATGCCTTATTTGACCCATTACATTTTCTGAAGCAGTTTTAGCTCATGTATGAATCTGTGATGTACCTTCCTGAACCTTCCAGTTCAGTGGTACAAAAAAAAAATCCCAGTGGAAGGTTCAGAAGTGACAGAATTTTATTTTAGACAACCAAACCTGTGAACTTTCCGTTTTAGTTAACGTAAAATTTACAAATGGTAAACTTTATTGGAATTTTATTTTTAATGAATTGAGACATAGAATGAGGAGTACTTTGGACTAGAGATGGCACGATACCACTTTTTTAATGTCTGATGCCGATACCGATATCATAAATGTGGATATCTGCCGATACTGATATGAATCCGATATAGTGTGTTTTTTAATCAATAAAACAGTTTTTTAATATCTTGCAGCATTTTGTATAAGTTCATACTCAAGTTTAAATAAACAACAACACTAAAGCTATTCTGTTATACCTGTGTGTAAAAAGTACACTGCACCCAAAATATTTCATAATTCAGCAATACTGATCAATCTAATAAACTTAAACCTACACCATCCTTCCTATTCTGGTATTTTAAAAAGTACTTAGCAGAAATATTAAGCAACCTAACTAATAGGGTTGCAAACTCCCAGCAAAGAAAAATAGGGAACCACCCCCCACCCTCCACCTCATGATGCTTAATCGACATAGTCAACTTTAATTTGATGCAGTGTGGGGAAAAAAATGCACAGAATTAAATTATTTTTCAAGAATAATTTAATAGATTCAACATCTTTCTTCAACAGAATTGCAGACTGCACAGATGGTACCTTCCCAAAGGAAAAAGTACTATAGCTTATTAGGGTATATTAGACTTAACCCTTTAAGACCTACCATAGAACCGTCCGCCAGAGCTTACTTTATATTTTTACATGCTGTAGTGCCATTTTTGGGAGCATTTCAAGTTGCTATACATCAATACAACTGTTATAGCCCATATTTTAATAATATGTATGCATTAAATCCATTGTAAATAGATTAATTGCAAAACAGTGCAATAAACTACAAAAAGAAATTGTTTTTGTTTTTTTTTTGCATATATTTCTACTTGGAGAAATTTAAGAGGTTTATCCCTCAAAACTTAAAATACAAAAAAGTTGCAAAAAATAGTTTACAACAACAGGAAATTTATTTTGAGTGTCTTCATAGTTTTATTTTTGAGATACACCAATTTTTTATATACTGCAGGAAAAACAAAAAACAATCCTATGATTGAAAACAGCATGTGCATCAAAATAAACTATTTTAAGCAGTGCAATTTGAGTTCTAAGCATCCCAGCAACTATTCAGAAAAACATAAAGTCAAACATATAACTTATAAAAACACCAGTATAGGCTTTTAAGGCCTACAAATAAAAAACTACATTTTCCGCGAAAATGACGTCACTTCCGGTTTCGGGCAGGAAATGGCGGACATGCTATCGTTCGTGCTGACGTCTGTTTCAATGTGAGAAGTGTTACGAACAGTTGATCGGATCGGCAAAGCGTGTTTCTGGAATATTGTGTTTTTGTTCCTGCAAGCGCTTTTTATGCAATTTTTGCAAAGCTTTATGTGGAAGGAAACCGTGACCTAGGACAAGCTGATGGCATAAGATGTAAGTACAACTCCTCCGGTTTCATATGCAAAAAAAAAATATTGCGCTAGCTTATGTGGTTCCAGTTCTACAGAGATTTAAAAATAGTTACGCAAAACAGAGCGTCCGACCGGCTTTAAAGGGTTAACAGTTACTATATACAGTAATGGACTTCTATACATTTTACATCAGATTAAAACTTTGTAAGATTCAGATAATTATTTATTAAAAGCTAGACATTTTAAATGAGATTAAGAAAGAAAAGTATGTCTTTGTGCCCCCTTTTCCCTGTTAATGCCCTATCGGCCCCCCTGGCTAAACTTAGATCCGCCCCTGCACAGTTACCAGCCATCAGCTACGTAGAAAAAGATCCTGGTGTAGAAAGTAATATTAAATAAATTCTAACAACAGCTTATCAAGCTTAAACGTGCTGCTGTTATTCAGCCTCTGGTTTCCTCTTTCTGAGGTGCTTTTTTGATATTTAATGGATCGGATTACATGTTTTATTTCTCTCCAATATCCGATCCAGTAATTTACGTCAGTATCAGACCGATACCAATAGAATAGAATAGAATAGAATAGAATAGCCTTTATTGTCATTGTACAGAGTACAACGAAATTGGAGTGCCACTCCCTTGGTGCAAGTTTCAATAATAAATATAAATGTAAAATATAAAAAGTACAAAAAAAACAATCGTAAGTACTCAAACAATAGTATGTACAATATATACAGGATAGCAGCATTAATATAATGACAGTATGAATAGCAGCATAATATAATGACAGTGACGGTATGGAATAGGTTCAATTGTTTTTGTGCTTATTTACTACGGTGATAGCTCTGGGAAAGAAGCTATCCCTGAATCTGTTTGTCCTGGTTTTATGTGACCTGTACCGTCGGCCTGACGGTAATAGTTCAAACAGTTGGTTGCTGGGGTGAGAGTGGTCCTTGATGATATTGCCAGCTCTGCTGAGGTACCGAGAGTTTGCAGTGACCTCCAGGCTGGGCAGAGAGCAGCCAGTGATCTTCTGGGCTGTGTTGATGACCCTCTGCAGTACTTTCCTGTCTGCAGCTGAGCACCCTGCATACCATGTTGTTATGCCGTACGTTAGGATGCTCTCTATGGTGGCTCTGTAAAATGTCACCAGCAGCCTCTCCTCCAGGTTGTTCCTCCTGAGCACTCTCAGAAAGTGGAGACGCTGCTGGGCCTTTTTAACCACCGCCGTAGTATTTGCAGTCCAGGAGAGGTCATCAGATATCTGCACGCCCAGAAACCTCATGGAGTGTACCCTCTCCACACAGCTCCCGTGAATGTAAAGTGGGGCCGGGTCTGCTCTGCCCTTCCTGAAGTCCAAGATAAGTTCTTTAGTTTTCGTGGTGTTCAGTTGGAGGTTGTTAACTGAACACCACTCAGTCAGTCTGTTGACCTCATCTCTGTAGTCCGACTCATCCCCCCTTGAGATGAGTCCAACCACTGTGGTGTCATCCGCGAACTTTATGATGGTGTTTGAGAGATGGGTAGGGGAGCAGTCGGATGTGTAGAGCGTAAACAGGAGGGGACTCAAAACACATCCTTGTGGAGACCCGGTGCTGAGTGTGATGGTGCTGGACCGGTGGGGGCCGAGTCTGACAGACTGTGGTCTATTTGTCAGGAAGTCCTTGATCCAGAGGCAGATGGGGGTGGAGAGTCCCAGGTGAGACAGTTTCTGGACCAGGATCTCCGGGATGATATGATTGAATGCTGAGCTGAAGTCCAGAAAGAGCATTCTCACATAGCTTCCTCGGTGCTCCAGGTGACTCAGCGCAGTGTGGAGCGCTATGGTGATAGCGTCCTCGGTGGAACGATTTGTCCTGTAGGCAAATTGGTGGGGGTCCAGAGTGGGAGGCAGACCGGCCCTGATGTGCTGACAGACCAGTCTCTCAAAGCACTTCATCACTACAGGCGTAAGTGCAACAGGCCTGTAGTCATTTGGGCTGGCCACAGCTGTCTTCTTGGCGATGGGGATGATGGTGGAGGTTTTGAGGCAGGGCGGGACGGTGTTTGATGACAAGGAAAGGTTGAAGATTTTAGTGAAGACTCCGGTCAGTTCGTCAGCACATGCTCTGAGAACCTTTCCATGTATTCCATCAGGACCTGCCGCCTTCCTGGGATTCACTGACCTTAGAACACACCTCACTTGGTGCTCCCTAAGTGTTAGTGTGCCAGTGCTGGGGGCGGGTGGAAGTGGTGTGGCAGCTGAGGGCTTGGTCGTCTCAAAGCGGGCGAAGAAACGGTTTAGATCCTCAGCCAGTGAGGCATCAGTCCTAGATGTTGCCTGGTTATTGCTTCTGTAGTTGGTAATGTGATTGATCCCCTGCCACATTTTTCTGGGGTCGTTGTCAGCAAAGTGATCTTCAATCCTCCTCCTATAGGCAGCCTTAGCTTTCCTGATGCCTCTACTCAGGTCTGCCCTGGCCGCCCTATACGCAGCCCTGTCCCCTGACTTGAAGGCAGTGTTGCGGCTTTTTAGGAGGGATTGCACTTCGCTATTCATCCAGGGTTTTTAATTTGGAAACACCCTGACCCTTTTGTTGACGGTGACATTGTCAACACAGTTCCTGATGTACGAGAGTACAGTGTCCGTGTACTC